AATGGGAAATGCCAGAAATATACATAGATAGCAGTACCAGAATATAATAAAATAAAATACCCAGACCAGTAAGGGTTAGGGTTGAAAGGTGTGAGATGTCTACAGTCTAGTATACTGCTATTGTCAATAATTATATGCCTGCCAGGCATGACAGTTAAGGCCAATCACCTTTAATTGGAGAGGCCTTGTCCAGCAGCAGACTTACAGATTAATTAAGAAGAAAAATAAGAAGTTAAAACTACTTCATGGATTTTGATAGTTTTTTTTTGGACAATCAATAGGATCATGTGTTAATTTTCGAAAGTCCATTATATTAGATGTTAAAAATTAATAAGCTAAAATCGACTTAGTTTGAAGGTGGTCTTCAAACTATGTCAGACACATATTATTTTATTATGTAGCCCTTATATTTTATTTTATTATGTAGTTTATCGCTTCAATTTTAATTAATTTTTAATTAAAATTGAAGCGATAAACTTGCCCACATGGTGGTAAGTGATAATAGTAGAACAATAGACTGAAGAACTTCATACAAAGAAGGCTACAGAAATAGGTAAGAGGATAGTACCTACCAAGGCGGGCACATAGGCAGAATAGGAGTCCTACTACCTAGGAAGTTTTATTGTGAATGACATGCATTTTTTTACTCAACAATGGTAGAGAAATGTTGGCATTGAGTGATGAAATCATAAGGAGATTATATCATGTCAATCATTGGCAAATTACTTCTTTTGTATTATACATATTAATATCATAAAAGATGAGGGTTATTGCATGTAATTAATAAACATAATTTTTATTTTTTATAAGGATAAATTAATTTTTAATTCTTACACTTGTGTAGATGCCGTGTTGCATTTTCATTAATGGTAAGACGCCATCACTGTCGAGCTTGTGGCCAAGTATTTTGCCAACAATGCAGTTCTAAGACATCCACTTTGCCCAAATTTGGCATAGAAAAGGAGGTAAGTTGTATATAATTATGCTACTCTTTGTAGAGTCATGATGGACTTTTTAATTAAATTTTATTTAAAGGAAATACTATAAATATTATAGTATAGAAATAAAAAGTACTTAGTAATTTAAATAAAACTAGTTTTTAAGTTTTTTATCGCGTATATTAACTTTTTTTTTATAGGATAGGGGGCAAACGAGCATGTGGCTCACCTGATGTAAGTGACTACCGCCGCCCATGAACAACCGCAACACCAGGGGAATTGCAGATGCGTTGCCGGCCTTTTAAAAAGGAGTAGGCTCTTTTCTTGAAGGTCTCTAAGTCGTATCGGTCCGGAAAAATCGCTGATGGTAATCGATTCCACAAGGAAGTTGTGCGAAAAAGAAAACATCTTCTAAATCGCACAGTGGTGGACCGCCAATCATCCAGATGGTGTGAATGGTATCGGGAGTTCTGCCGCGATGTGCGTTCGTGAAATTTGGCGGCTGGGATTAATCCGAACAATTCCTCAGAGCACTCCCCGTGGTAGAGGCGAAAGAAAATGCAAAGGGATGCAACATCTCTTCTCAGTGCCATTGAATCCAACCAGATCAGAAAGGACTCGGTCGTCGACGATTCGAGCCGCTCTGCGCTGGATGCGGTCAAGTGGAAGGAGCTGGCACTGGGGAGCCCCTGCCCAGAGATGGGAACAGTATTCCATGTGAGGCCGAACCTGCGCCTTGTAAAGTTGCAGGCGGTGTGCCGGCATGAAATACTGTCCCGCTCTGCTGAGCACGCCAAGCTTTTTAGAGGCCAATTTGGCCTTCTCTTCCAAGTGACCACGAAACTGCACGTCACTCGATATGTCGACTCCGAGGATTCCAATACTGGCTGAGGCAAGAAGGGGCGTGCCTTGAAACTGAGGAGATACGACAACAGGGTTCTTTTTAGCGGTAAACGCGCAAACTTGTGTCTTCTGAGGATGAAACTGGACTAGATTTAGTCGCCCCCAATCCTAGACTTTGTTCAGCAAAGACTTGACTTCAGACACAAGTTTGTTCTCAGACACAAGTTTGTTCCGGTACTCGGCGACGTTTTCCCGAGACATATTGGCACGGCCGGTGTATGAAGCATCACCAGTGTTGTCATCCGCATAGCAATGAATGTTACCAGTTAGCTACATATCATTGATATGCAGAAGAAACAGCGTTGGTGATAGCACACAGCCTTGTGGAACACCAGCGTTAATAGGCTTGTAGTTGGAGCAAGCACCGTCTACAACGACCTTGATGCTCCAATCTGCAAGGAAGCTGGTGATCCAATTGCACAATTTCTCGGAAAGCCCATAGGAAGGGAGCTTCGAAAGAAGCGCTTTGCTAAAGCCGATCGAAGGCCTTCGCAATGTCCAAACTAACGGCCAACGCCTGCCCCTTGGACTCTACTGCCTCCGCCCATCTATTATATATATATATATATATATATATCAGGTAGACCAGAAGTTCACCAGCTAATCGACCCCTACGAAAACCGTATAGGCGGTCACTAATCAGCTGGTGATCCTCAAGGTACCGCATGAGCTGGCAGTTAATAATGGATTCCATTATTTTGGAGAACAAGTAGGTGATGGCGATATGCCTATAGTTGGGACGGGTCTGAGCAGTCGCCTTTTTTAGGGATCGGGTGGACAAAAGCTGTCCTCCATGAATTCGGGACTACGCCTTGGGAGTAGGAGTACCGGAAAAGACGTGTTAGGACCGGTGCCAACTCAAAAACTTATTAACTTATTTTATAATTAATAAAATTAATTAACCTAAGCACCCATGGTTACGGGGGGGGGGGGGGGGGGACTGTAGTGTTCGATTTCCAATGTCATAGTAAACTACAGTTGCTTTCAATTTAAAATTATTAATTTTTGATACAATCTATACAGTATAAACTTATGGTATCTTGAATTCTTGTAGTTGTATGCTTGGATTGGGATATAATTTTATTAATAGGATCCCAAGCAGATGGTAGCACCCAGACATCTTTTCTATTGAAATAAGGATGTTTTTGATTTCAATAACCTCACGAATCGTCCTTGGAAGGAATCAGTGTTCTTTAGTGAAGATATTTTGTGGTCTATCAAATCTGATTGATTATTCACATCAACTGTGTTCTTTAATGTGGGTTTTATTGGTCTTTACTAATGTTTGGTCAGACTGTATCTTTTTTTATTTTAAATACAAGTTTACTTATTTTGAAAATTTCTACTTAAATAAATAAAAATGAACTTGAATGGTTTTTTTTTTATTTTCATGAGAAATTTTACAGGTCCGTGTATGTGATGCCTGTTTTGATAAAGTCAGCCGCCCACCATCATCTACTGCCAAACCTAAATCAAGCACCCTTGGAAGTGAAATAAGTACAACTCCAAATCAGGTAAGTCAGGAGATTGAAATTAAAGAAAACAATGTTCAAATTTGTAGTTTTATTAACAAACTATGAAATTTTCTATTTTATTTAAACAAAAGTTTTATGGAAATTTACAATGTCTGTATGGTTTTTTCCTTGGGGACCTTTATCAAATGAAACACTTTTATTTTAATGCATGTTGATTGTATTGACTACTACCATACAATCTGATTCAACCCAGTATTATTTTAAAATGATTAGTTTCTATCATTAATAAGTAGTTGTAGAATAATTTAAAAATACCAAACTAATATGAAATATAATGGTTTGTCCAGCTTACACCATATAAGTTTTTATTTTTAGAATCATTGTTTAAAGTCACAGAAAATTGGATTCAAAAAATTGTACTTTAAAATAATGAACAGCAGTTTTTACATACATATCAATGAAATGGAAAAACCCAATCCAAAACTCTCTTAGTAAAAGTTAAAGAAATATATGTATATTATATTAACTTAAGCCTCTCATTATAATTACGAAAATTTAATGTACGTTCACAAAAACAAAAGAAGATTTAATAAATGAGTGATGTGTAAAGATACTTGCCTCCATAGAGTCCGGTACCTAATTCATTCATGAAGCAATGTATACAAGTCTTTTATCAAAGTCCTTGAAAATATAAAAGGTCTCTATTACAAAGTTTAAATATTTTAAACAAAAACTGTATAAAAAGGGTTATTATGATATCAATGAATACATGATTGATAATAACCGCTGGGAATGAAGTGATCGCTTACAAGCTTTTTCTTAAATAAGTTTTGTAAGCAAGTACTTACAACAACAATGTACAAACTTGTACAACCTGTTTTTATTTTAATAATTTTACTTCGAAAAAAAAATTCCACTGGGATTCTTGCTGGTTCTTCTCAGGACAGTTCTTTTCCGAACCCGTAGTAAAGGAAAAAAGATACTTTCAATTAGAATTACTAGTAATAAAATAAAAAAAATATGAAAGTAATAATATTGAATAAAAGGGCATCTGATAATAGGGTTAACTTCTATAAAGTTAGGTATAGTGCAAGGATTTCAATAGTGTGTTTACCAATCCAACAGCTTTGTAAATAACCTATTTAGATTATTACCTTTACTATACATAACTTACACATCATAAAATATTATGATACCACCCTACCAACATAATTTGATTATGATGATATGATTTAACAACTTCCCTGTCTGTGAAAAAACAATAGTTAAACAATGTTCATATATGACTCCCGGCACAGTGAAATGGTTAATACAATTTTTATTATGTTGAAAGAATTTATTACCAAATTTGTTTTATAATAAATGGTTCTGAAACATAACCGAACATTTTCTATGAAAATACTAAAAGTGGTAGTTTAAATGGTAATTTTATTTCATTTTCATAAATGTATGAGTTTTTTAAAAACTAACCTAAAAAAATTGAATGATGTTAGTTGTATATTGTTATTCAGCTATAATTAAGGATTCATTAAGGTACTAAACTAGATTATAAAGTAATGTAATGGTGTTTTAATAGGTTACCTTTACGAATATTTTAAAGCATTCAATGAAGTATGTAATTAAAGGACTTGTGAATAAACATCAAAAGTACTTATTTATAATACTTTATTACCAAATTTTATTATCAATGCCCTTCATAAGATTCTCCTGGCATTTCGCCTCCAGGCACTAACATAGCAATATTATTTCCATTTAACAAGATTTGATCCAATTTTGTTATTTTCCTTCCCTCTGGTGTAGATTCATATTCCGTGACGTCGTCTAACAGCATATTCACGAAATCATCGAAACCTTGTAACGTTCCCACCATCTCTTTGTCGTTCTTCATAATAATATGTATCCTCGATCCTATGCATTTATCCACTAGCTCAAGCGGCAACAAGGTATTTGGATTAGGCAAAGACTGTGACATTTTGTAAAGAATGAAGTGAATGTAAATTATTATTAGATAACGATATATTAATGTCACTTCTTGAATTTTACAGTAATGTTATATAAAGATAAACCTTTTAATTAATCACTGGATATTAGATATCCTTTTATAATGTTTGACAGTTCAAACTTCCTATCTCCGCGTTTGTCACTTTGACATTTGACAAAATATAATTCATTCCGAGTAAACAATTATTATAAAATAGCAATTGTTACATAACTTATCTATTAAACACCTAATATTTTATTTCGATCTATCAAACAATATTTAGATTATAGAAAAATATTCGTAAAGGTATGTAACCTATTAAAACACCATTACGTTACTTTAGTGATTTAGAAAGAGCAATGGCAGACTTTCATACATAAAATTAGTTGAGAAGAAATGGTAGCGTCTATATACCAAAAATATCTTAAAATGTTAAGCGTCAGTCCCTTAATAACTCTGTCAAAGAATTTTGTACTGAGAAGGCGTCATAAAAAAAATATTTACATTTGAACCTTTTTAGGTTATGTCCTATGTCACTTGGAAAAGTCATGCTTCCTGTGGTTGTTTGATGTTAGCTTAATACATAATACATAATTGAGAGTTTTTAGATTATTGTATCTCTATTATATATTTGCATACTATAAATGTATATTTCTGGCATGGCTCTAGGGCTTTTGTACCATAGTGACATTCTCAGAAGGACTAGAACCCAGAGCCGTAAAGCCAGTAAAAAAAACAGTGACATTTTATTTTAGATAGTGTTGGCATAACATTAAATGGAATTATTACATAGTACTATGATTGAGATAATGTATTATTGTAGGAAATCCTATGTAAGAGACTTATTCTCAGCCATATTACTTTTATTTTTGTTATTCCTGATAGTACAGTTATTACTAATAATAACTTAGTATAAAAATATTTTGTGTGTTGTGTTGGTAGTGTTACAAAGTGTATACGAAAATAGTAGGAATATACTAAATGGCAACATTTGAATAGAGTAAAATGATTTCAGTCATTTGATATTCCCAAAAATGTTTGTTTTTTTCTGTGGCTTTAATTAAAATACATTTTTATTTGAAAAATCATAGAAAAATAATAAAACTCATTTTATATATAACTTATTTCTAGACGCTATAATTTTTGTCAACTATTTTTCTGCCATTGCTCTTTTGTGTCAACAAACACATGAATTTAATTTTTTTTTTGCAATGGCAAGTGAGATCTAATACCATAGATCCATAGATATGTGCAACATTTACAAATTAAAATGTCATTCAGATTTCAAATTAATTCAATAGTTAACGGCAAAGAGTATAACGTTAGCGTCAATATACAAATAAAGGAAACATTGATAAGTTTTATATTTACGCCAACGTTTAAAATGGCTAAGAATTATGTTAATAAATTTCGTGGTGAAAGTTTTTTTACTCCAAACAGAAAATTACATATAAAAGATGAGCCCGTGTCGCCTAGTGAAGAAGAGTTCGTGGATTACAATAATTTTGACTTCGCCTGTATAAATGATTATGGTAGTATGAAAAAATCATTATCAATGAATGACATAGCAGCTTTGAAAGATTTTGCAAAATTGGATTTACAAAATGTACAAGAGCAAGAGCCAAGATATCGCAGACCTACCACCGGCAGTAGTCAAGATTTGTCTAAACCAAAGTTTATTTCGTTGGCCGAGTCTATTTATCATTTTCAACGTGATACACCTGGACGCTTCCATTCAACTCGTCCTCAAATGTTTCGCTCTCAGTGTAACACAGGACCCTCTGGACTTACTGTGCCTCAATCTCCAATGCTTCGGTGTAAAGCACGATCAAGACCAATTCATACTATGTCGCAAAAAGAAAAGGAGGAAATCGAAGTAGAACAGATGAAAAATTTCAAAATAAAGGCTCATCCTGTACCTAAATCAGTGATAGAAGGCACCAAGAATTTACCAGAGGTACCTAGAAAACCTGCTACAATTCCAGAACCGTTTAAGTTAACTGAGATACATAAGAAGACAATCCATTCCCCAATAACTGTCCAGAATTTTAAAGCTCGTCCTGCTCCCAAACATATATTAGAGAAACCTCAAGTACCACCTAAGCCACTTGTATACACTACTAAAGCATTAAGTCCAAACTTTCATTACAGACGAGGTCATTCGGCTGATCAAATTAAGTGTCGTTTGGCTGATCAAATTAAGTGTGATAAGAAAAATAACATTTTTATGAAAGAAATACAGAAACAGCCAAAGCCATGTGAAATTGTTCAAAGACATGGACCTGTACGCCCAGAACCTTTTTCATTTGAGAAGAGGGATGAAGAGATGAGAAAACGCAGGGAGGAAAGAATTAAACGTCAGTTGGAGGAAGAAAGGAAATTAGCATCTCAGTTTAAAGCCCAGCCTTTACCAGCTGCAGTGAAAAAGCAAATGCACAATGCAACCAGCAAAAGTACTGCATCTAACGCTTCCTCAGAGAATAAGGAGAATCATGTCAAATTTGAAGCCCGCCCTCCTCTTGTTTTATATAAAGCACCTTTTAAACCTACCCTTCCACCAAGCCAAATAGTTAAACCAGCTCCGTTCGACCTAAATACAGAAAAAAGAGCTGCAGAAAGAGAGAAGTTTGAGCGGCTTTTGAAGGAAAAAGAGGAAGAGAATGAGATATTAAGACAGCAGAAGGAAAGAGAACAGAAAGAAGCCGAGGAGAGAGCACAAGCAGAATTAAGAGCCAAACTTATTCATCATGCTAAGCCTATACCAACAATAGAACCATTTATTCCTGAAAAGTCTTCAGAACCTCTCACTGTGCCTGAAACACCAAAATTTGTTAGAAGATTGAAACAAAACTAATGCATACTTGCACATGTTATTGTAAAAATGACTTTATTATGGATTATATTAATTATTAAAATAATTATGGTAGTTTAGGAATTGTGTTATGCTTTACTATTATGATGTATGGATATTACTTTGAGACTACTTTAATTTTATCTTTGACTAATTTTGTAATATAGTTTCAATCTTTAATTTTTATTATAGGCTTAAGTCTTAAAAATAATTACAAGTAAATCATTATTTTTTATTTCTCCTTTTTAACCATGACATCACTTATTTTAGCCATGACTGTTCATTTTCATGTCTTTGACTTAATAGTTTCACTTAATACTTAAGCCCATCAGAAACAAATGTGAAAAGGTTGCAAATTTAAAAACTAAACAAAGTTCAAGGTTGTCAATTTTGCCAATAAAACAGTGAATTTCTGAATAGATGCAAAGCTCCATTGATTTTCCATGGATCAAAGGTTTTTGTTTACTTTAATAAAAATTTGCCTGATATTGGTTTATAACCTGGCAAAAATGTATAAATTATATTTAATATAAACTTAAAATTTTACTTTTATACTAGGTACATAGAATTTAGTTTGATAAAATAAGCTATTAAATATGGAACTCTGTGTCAACTTTTATTTTGACAAAGCCAACAACCCCAAATGGTGTTTGTACTCAAGTTGGCCTTCTATTAACATTTTTTGTTTTTGAAGGGATAGTGTTAGTGTTATTTTTACACACTGGTGTCTACAATTCAATGACTAATGCTTGGTTCCTGAGGTACTTTTATCGATAGTTTATCTATTCGTTACCACTATTGGTTCGATAACTCATCAAAGTGCATTTCCAAACATTGCCATGTAACGTAAACTCCGTTTAAGCTAAGTTTAACTGACCAGTCTGTGCCGTTTATCAGTAAGTGTGTAATCTGGAAGTATATCAATTTTCGAAAAATTATATCTTTTATACATGTGGAGTTTCATGTTTCTAATTCTTTTGAAAGTAGTCTAGGTTGTTGATATGTATTGGTGAGTGATAAAAATCACACTTTTTAACCGGTTCAGTGCTGATGACACGTCAGGCGTACCATCAATTACTTTTGTGTGTGTCTTTTTAAAAATCGTTTTAACTAGCTCAAATTGCGTTTTTCGAAAATTTATCCTGAACAAAATATTCATTATTTTGCAAGTAGTTCATGCCTGCAGCTACGTTTCTAGATATTTTAAAAATTTTATATTTTTAGGGGTTGACAAACTTTTTTTAACTTGTAGGTACTGTTTTTACTTTGTGGGTTTTAAATCATGTTGTGGAAAAATAGTCTAATAAGTAACAAATAATAGCACTCATTGCGATCGCTCACAAACCCAAGTTGTAAATAAATTTCTGATTTATTTCTATTCGTATAAGGTTTATTTTTGCTTGAAACAGTTTGAAACCGTTCATGCATAAAAAAAGTTCGCTAATAAATAGTTTCGTCAATCCGCCGCCGTATAGCGCCGGCGTTTGTTTCCTTTTGAAAACACTTGTTTTGCTATTCTTACTAATTGGACGTTTTCAAATCGACTTTACTTTTACATTTGTATAACATTAAATAATATTTAACATTTGTAAATATTAATGAATCATAAACCTTTTTTTTTTCAAATTAAGGTTCTTGATTGTTTGATATTTACAAATATTATTATTAGGTGAAAATTTAATTTAATAAAAACCAAGGTTTTCCAGGGTGATTTACCTACTTATATAAATTATTTTTTTATAAAACAAAAAATAGTACAAAATGTTTGTAATCTCTGCATATAAAAGTCACTTAATCTCAATTTCAAAGAAAACACGTAGTTACCCATTAAAAACAAGTATCCTTCGTTTTAACATCCGTTTAATATCCATTTGTAACTGATGTTTGATGTCAACTAAACTTAATTAGGTCTAAACAAGTGAAAAAAGCATAAAAAAGATAATTATTTTTACACATGGCTCATGGCACAATAGGCGTCTGTGGAGTTTGACACGCTAGGTGTGTCATGTCGCCGCCACAGCTAAAAGTTGTCGAAAATTGGTGCCGCAACGAATCGGTTAAACTATCATAACTTAGAACTATATGAGGTTTATTCGTGAAATTGAGATTCTAGGTCTTGGTATGTAGGTTTAATAGTTTATGAGTAAATAGTGGAGCAATATTGCAATGTATTACGGCTTCAGTATGAATGGATTGGCTCGACTAGGGAAGGGCAATGCTTCTTCAGAATAATAGCACAGTATAATAAACATACAGTAGGACGACGCCTTTGATCTCGTGGTAAATGCCGACAACGTCTAGACAGCGTATGGAGGTTAGGGTTGTCACAAATTAACAACTTTTACTAATTTAATTATTTATTTTAGATCTACATCGTCATCAACAGTATGATTACTAATATAAAAAATAAGTAACAATTTGTTCTTAAATTTTTCCTGAAAGTACTCAAAACGTTAAGAGTGCTCTACTCTCGATATGTGGCCATACCTCAATTTCGCTACATGAAATCGTTCTTATACTCTTAGCTAAACATCAAATCCATATTATTATTAACGTTACAATGACTACAGACATTGAATTATTAGTTTATTTTATAATTGATTCTTTAGGCTTTCGAAAGTTCTAACTAAATCAGGTCTTCCAATAACTTCCATCCATAATTTGCATCTGAAATTTTTAAATACAATACTTATTAATAGATTTTCATAATTATCACCTCCAGAAACCTTAAAATTGACATCCATATTGAATTATTAAAAAAAATCCACCATATTGGATTTTTTTTTTATAGGAGAGGGGGCAAACGAGCATGCGGCTCACCTGATGGTAAGTGACTACCGCCGCCCATGTACAACTGCAACACCAGGGAGGGAATTGCAGATGCGTTGCCGGCCTTTTAAAAAGGAGTACGCTCTTTTCTTGAAGGTCCCTAAGTCGTATCGGTCCGGAAAAATCGCTGATGGTAATCGATTCCACAAGGAAGTCGTGCGAGGAAGAAAACATCTTCTAAATCGCACAGTGGTGGACCGCCAATCATCCAGATGGTGTGGATGGTATCCGGAGTTCTGCCGCGATGTGCGTTCGTGAAATTTGGCGGCTGGAATTAATCCGAACAATTCCTCAGAGCACTCCCCATGGTAGATGCGAAAGAAAATGCAAAGGGATGCAACATCTCTTCGCAGTGCCAATGAATCGAGCCGATTGGAAAGGGCTCGGTCGTCGACGATTCGAGCCGCTCTGCGCTGGATGCGGTCAAGTGGAAGGAGCTGGCACTGGGGAGCCCCTGCCCAGAGATGGGAACAGTATTCCATGTGAGGCCGAACCTGCGTCTTGTAAAGTTGTAGGCGGTGTGCCAGCATGAAATACTGTCTCGCTCTGCTGAGCACGCCAAGCTTTTTAGAGGCCAATTTGGCCTTCTCTTCCAAGTGACCACGAAACTGCACGTCACTCGATATGTCGACTCCGAAGATACCGATACTGGCTGAGGCAAGAAGGGGCGTGCCTTGAAACTGAGGAGATACGACAAAGGGGTTCTTTTTAGCGGTAAACGCGCAAACCTGTGTCTTCTGAGGATTAAACTGGACTAGATTTAGTCGCCCCCAATCCGAGACTTTTTCCAGCAAAGACTCGACTTCAGACACAAGTTTGTTCCGGTACTCGATGACGTTTTCCCGAGAAATATTGGCACGTCCGGTGTATAGAGCATCACCAGTGCTGTCATTCGCATAGCAATGAATGTTACCAGTTAGCAACATATCATTGATATGCAGAAGAAACAGCGTTGGTGATAGCACACAGCCTTGTGGAACACCAGCGTTAATAGGCTTGTAGTCAGAACATGCACCGTCTATAACGACCTTGATGGTCCGATCTGCAAGGAAGCTGGTGATCCAATTGCACAATTTCTCGGGAAGCCCATAGGAAGGGAGCTTCGAAAGAAGCGCTTTGTGCCAAACCCGATCAAAGGCCTTCGCAATGTCCAGACTAACGGCCAACGCCTCCGCCTTGGACTCTACTGCCTCCGCCCATCTATGGGTCAGGTAGACCAGAAGATCACCAGCTGATCGACCCCGACGAAAACCGTATTGGCGGTCACTAATCAGCTGGTGATCCTCAAGGTACCGGATGAGCTGGCAGTTAATAATGGATTCCATTATTTTGGAGAACAAGGAGGTGATCGCGATAGGCCTATAGTTGGACGGGTCTGAGCGGTCGCCTTTTTTAGGGATCGGGTGGACAAAAGCTGTCTTCTATGAATTCGGGACTACGCCTTGGGAGTAGGAGTATCGGAAAAGACGCGCTAGGACCGGTGCCAACTCCGGAGCACACGTCCTCAGCACAATTGGGGGGATACCGTCAGGCCCACTCGACTTCTGGATGTCCAGGGAGAGAAGTGCTTTGCGAACCGAGCGCTGTGAGAACAGCACATCCGGCATGGAGCACTCACACCGCGGGTGGTCGGCGGTGTTTTCCCCCCCGTCATCAAGAGTCGAGTTGGACGCAAAAAGGGAGCCTAAAAGTTCAGCTTTGTCTTTTGCGTCTTGGGCCAATGAGTCGTCCTCCCTGTGCAGAGATGGTAGTGATGGCTTACAGAAATTCCCTTGGACAGCCTTGGCGGGAGACCAGAATGCACGGGTTCCCGAAGGAAGGCGAACTAGTTTCTCGCCAATTCTGCCTATGTGCTCTGACTTTGCCTTGGCAATAACTCTTTTGAAGGACCTGGAGGCAAAGTTGTACTTCTTTTTAAGTGTGATGGTGTTTACATCCCGAGTCGCCGAAGCTGCAGCCCAGGCTTGATAACACTCCTGCTTACTGCGTAATGCAGTCTTACAGGAGCGTCCAAACCAAGGCTGAGATCTGCCTCCGATGGGTACCACAGATGATGAAATAAATAGTTCCATTCCCTGTAGCACCACATTAGTGACAGAGTCAGCAACAGCCTTGGGATCATTCGGCGAGAAACAAACCCGCCCCCATGGATAGGATGCAAAGAAAGACCGCAT